GACACCAGAACAAAGGTAGAGGAGAGATTGTGAAGGAATTTATCGCCAAGAAGTTTAGACTTTAATCCTGGAGCTAACAACAGTAAGTAAAACAGGTTTTTAAAGGAGGCATTAGCCCTTCATGGTAATTGACTGTTTACCTATTTCGGTTCCCCATTCCACTCTACACTCCATGGAGCAAGGGTCAGGTATCAATTGAGGATTGGATTTGTTTTGTTTTAGAGAGAGTGTGTGTGTGCTCATGAACAGGTGCAAGGCGGGGGAGGGGAGGGGGAGGGAGAGCAAGAGACTCTTAAGCGGACTCCACGCTGAGCACAGAGCCTGATGCAGGGTTCAGTCTCATGATGCTGAGATCCTGACCGGAGCTGAAATCAAGGATCGGACACTTGACCAACTGAATCACGTAGGCACCCCTGATGGAGCATGATTCTTTGAAAGCCGGAGGAGTACTTGATGCATAGTAGGCATTAAAAAAATGTTTGATGCATCGCTGAGTGTCTGAAATAATGGTTACATAAGCCTTAGCAAGTATAATTAGTAACTGATTATTTTAATAAATGAAGCAAGAGAAAACAAAGTCAGAGTATGGGCAGCAATAACAGATTTTATATCGTCAGCGCAGCGTAATGACTTACAGACTAACAGGGATTTGATAAAGTGAGAAGTCTAATATTACAGTAGGATTTCAAATCTGGGTAACTAGATAGATGGCAGTGTTTTAAAGAAAGTTCAGGGGAAATGTTAAAAGATTTGATTTGAATTCAGTCGAGGATAAGATTCATTTGGGACACGATCTGATAGTAACTAGGCAACAGTATAAGGAAAAAATCATTCCCCAATTTTAGTACTTATTTTATGAATAAAAATAATTAATATAACTTTGTTCAAATTTATGTCATCCATATTTTTAATGCCTTAGAGGGATAGGAAAATTATTTACTCTCAAATCCATTTGAGATTATAATTATAATTCACTATCTCTATAACAGAAATGGGGGAGGTAGAAATAGATTAAAAATAACTGGCTTTAAAAGTCTAGAATTGTAACCGGGGGGGAAATAAAGCAGGCAACCTGTCATCCAAGTTATCGCCACAAATTTTATTACATGGTAGACAAAATATAGACATGATATAATGTTAAATAAGCTAGAATTGATTTAAATATGTAATAGAGTTTGGAGGTCATTGCGATTTGTTTAGATTCTTGATATTACTGACAGCATATTAGAAATGGCCAAGCTGGTACAAAATACTACATTCAGCAAAAACTCATTACTCATATGAAAATGTTAAATCTCTGTAATCCCCTTCTTTCACAGATCTTCTTGAGGCAAACAAACAACAAATATACTGTTTCACTCATGAAATATTTTCCCCACATATCCTTAGAACATTTAAAGAACGCTTTTCTTCTGTTTTCTTTAATAACACTTTTATCATCATGTGGTTTCTCAACATCACCCATATCAAAATCATCTTGAGTATTGGGCAACTGAGAATTTGGAAGAAAAAAAACCACATTAGTCAATTGTTCATTAAAGTCTCAATTAAAGAAAATATTTTTCCTTATAATAGAAAAAAGATGATCTGGGATTTTGTGATTCATTGAGTTCAGGATATAAACAAGTGATTTCTTCCAAAGTTTTTATTCCAATGCAGTTTAAGATATACATAACCATTTCCAGGCTATTTTTTGAAAGATAAAAAAGTGAATGAAATTCACTTTTTGTATGACTTGTAGAAGTACTTTTCAAAAATCTCTTAACCTGATGAGACTTCTATAAAAGGATTTTGAGACTTGACTAACATTCAAGAATGCTGGAGTTTGTTGACTTCAGTACATTGCAAATACTAAGTTAATTCTGTGACATGAGGCCTTTGGGAAACTGGCTAAAATCGTAAAAAATAGAGAGAGAAGCTGAAATATTTTGAAAATATAAAAAGAGAATTAATCACCTCCAAATATATTTTCCAAGAACAGTAATGTATTGTATAGTTTTTACATATTTGAAAATAGGAACTGTTACCTTTATACTCGTCTATTTTGTTGATTATAAAATGTGACCATAGACTGTAAAGTTGCTTGTAATCTTCACAGTGTAGCTAACCTCCCTATAGAAAACCACTAGGAAACAAATTACAGGTTAGATGCCAGCAGTCTTCTAATAAAACAGCTCCTTAGTTTAATAATAGCAGCTCTAAACTGATGTTACTGCACAAAATACAAAAGATGCAGAGCTCAGGTGTGAAACTTCTAATTCACAAGAAACCGGGGGAGTCTTCATTTGACTCTTTATTATCTTTAATGAGAAGATGAAACTTGTCACTGATGAATGTTAAGATCGCATCAAGTATCTCCCAAAGAGTTATAGATAGAAATAATTTCAAAGTACTTGGTATTCACATAGATTAGAATCTTGCTCAAACACTTCAGTGCTACTCTCTGAGGAATTATGAAAATTGTTGAGAATTTTGAAGTCAACTTGCTCCTATAAAGCACCTACTCTGCTCAGCTTTACAGAAACATCGTTTTGAGAAACCTCGTGAGTGGGGATACATAGGAGTAATATATAGGGAATTTAGGAGAGAAAAAGAACCTAACAGAATCAGACACAACATTTTATAGTGTAGACAATAGATGTGATGGGAATGCCACTATGGGAAATATCTCTGTAGGAGACTTTCAAGGAATAGGTGCAGCATTTACATTCTGGGAGGTGTGGAGTGAGATTAGGGAGAGAAACAAATCGGTGGGTAATCCTGGCAGGGGAATGCCAGAAGGAATAGCAGAGGAGACAGGACTAAGCAATACAGCTAATGGAACAGGAGATGGTAGGGCTGGCTAGGAGAGAGGAGGTCCAGCACGGGATGAACCTTTCTGCTTTAATCTATAAATTATGTCTGAGACGCACCTATGGCATAAAAATTAAGAGCTTAAGCTCTGAGACTCTCTACCTGAAACTGCCACTTACTGTTTAACTCTGGGCAAGTACTTTAATTTTCTATCCCTCAATTTCCTTATCTGTGTAATAGGGCTAATCATAATTTGTATCAATACAAGTGAAGTGCTTGCAAGCTCTTTTTATTGTATCAAGACTGACATTCTTAGGGAGAGGATTTTTATCTTATTTTATTTTATTATTTTATTTTATTTTATTTTATTTATTTTTACTAAATATGTTTCCCTGGCAGCGATGGTCAAGGTAGATGAAAAAGGTATGACTCTGGGCAGGTGAACTCAGTGGTAACCCAGTGTTTTCCCCTTAAATTCCATGATCCATTATAATTGAAACTGAAATACTGGTCTCAGAATTTTCATATTTAGTATCAAAAATGATCTTTTATGTTTGCATCAGACTCCTGTTTCCAAGCTCTCTGAAACCAGTATCCAAATAAAAGATTTCATGACAAGTGGTCAGATTTAAAACCTGGATCTTGGGCAGCTGGGGTGGCTCAGCGGCTTAGCGACGCCTGCAGCCCAGGGTATGATCCTGGAGACCCTGGATCGAGTCCCACGTCCGGCTCTCTGTATGATGCCTGCTTCTCCCTCTGCCTGTGTCTCTGCCTCTCTCTGTCTAAATAAATAAATAAATAAATAAATAAATAAATAAATAAATAAATAAATAAATAAATCTGGATCTTCTAGATCCTTGCTACATTAGTGCTGAGAGTTCACTTGACATCCATATTTTCTGATAAAGTTCTGTATCTGTATTTGAGTGAAATTAATGACTTTGAGGAGCATTATGGAAACCCACCAAGATGGAAAATTTCTTTGGATTCTCATACTATGCATGATAAAAAGGGAGTTTTATTACTACATTTAACCTTTAGCACATCTTTCTTGAAAATATAGATTCAAATGTAAAATCTAGCATTTGCAGACATTGTACTAATTTGTTACAGTCACCCTTTTTAACCCATAAGGCTTTGAGTTCATAAAAGGGACATGAATTACAATATGAGATCTAATATTTGCGTCATTAGCACACATAATTTCTTTCCAGATCTTTTGTACTTATGAGGAAAAACTCTGTGCACAGTGCATATTCAATTGCTAAAAATCTCAATGAGAAGCAAGAAATACAGATGTAAAAAGTAGATATGTCATATATGTTTATTTCAGGTAAATATCATTTTCCCTTCATCTGAAATGAGTTTATCTTTTAAACTTGAGTAATTTGGCAGAACAAATAGATTCTTTTCTTTGAAACAATCTAAGTTATTTATACTACATATTCTACCTAATAGAGGTATTGGGAACTGGTAACAGTTGCAAATAGATATGATAGAGAAGAGATAAATGATGTTCAGTTTCCAATTTTAGCTTGTTACTAGACTACAAAATCAGAGTTACTTATTTTTCATGTACTTCCATCATTGTTACGTTGATCTAATCTTTGTCCAATAAAGACATGATCAAGAACTATTGCAAAGCCCACCAACTTTGTAGCATCCATCAATCTACTGACATTTTTCCACTTAGAAGCCCTTAAAAGCAGACTATGACTAATGGTTTTTATAATTTCTTAAATTTATAGAAATTTCTCCTTTCTGCTTTGCCTTAGGAATAGTTCAGAAGTGTCTGGTCTAACGTAGTTCAGCCGAGGGTACCACACCACTATGGGAGAAGTTGTATCACAACTGCCAGAGCAGCTACAGTAACTGCATAAACCCTGACTTTAGCTTGTTGATTGTCTTTTAAGGAGAAATCAGGACCAAAAGAACATAATCTAAACAAGCGATTGCAGGGCTCTAGAAAAAGAAATGCTTAATTCCTTTGTAATTCATGTTCTTTTTACAAACTCAACATAAACAAGGCTGTAAAAAATGGAGAGATCTCTATGTGTAATAGTAAGACTTTTGTAGAAGCGTGTTGGAAAATGAAGTTCTTATTAATAAAATACAAATGATTTAGCTGCCACAGCTGGAAATCTCTAACTGCAGCACATTTTTTTGTAATTGCTCTAATCTTGTGTGTTCTCTTGCTCTTTTTGCAGGCAGACCAGTAATGATCGTGGTGGAATATATGGAGAATGGATCCCTAGACTCCTTTTTGCGGGTGAGGTGTTCTTTTCTGATAGCATTTAAATAAGCTATTCTGAGTTCTAGATTTAAATCATTTATCATAAATTAATTTTTGCATAATGTTATTCATGGATTTTTCCATGAAGAATAGCAGCGTTTTCTCTAGGGTGCATTTCTCTGATACTGTGATACATTAGTGTGTTACTAACAGGAGGAGTATATACACATAATAATATAATTGATTTCTCCTATAAAGTCACATGCCATATAAATATATATATATTTCAAATGATGTTATAAAGAGATTAAATGAAACTCAGTTGCTTTGCACAAACATTTGTTTTGCTTTATCACATTTAACTATTCAGCATGATGTTTTATGCATGATCTATAATACTGAACCCCTTAAATTGATATATATTTACTAATAATGACTCAAGTTCATATCAGAAAACTGGTATTAGCCCTCTTAAGTTCATTTGCCTGACTTTCAGAAAACAAAAGAATTCACGCAAAACTCTAGCAGAGATCGGTTTTAGAACAAACCTTTTTAAAGTATTCTTTTTAAAATGACTTATCCTAGTGCTCGCTTCGGCTGCACATATACTAAGGTGACTTATCCTTGAGGGAATGGTGTGTACAGAAATCATTTGTCTTATATAGTAGTAGAGAATAACAGAGCTGAGAAGGCACCATGAAGTTATATTTCAAATGTATTTATAATGTCTTTAATATTTAAAAAGCCATCATGTGCTACAAAAATGTTCATTGATATAAAAAATACCCATAAATATAAAAAATAATCACTACAGTAAATATTTTTCATCCCCAGGAGAGGTTACATATTTGAGTGTCACTGTATTCTTATTTATCTGTATACAAAGACATGACCATTTTTCTTACTTATAGCATGACTGGACTCTTGCTATTTGGAATGTGTTACACTATTTTTTATCTTTTCATATGATAAAAACGGTCTCGAGCATTCTTTCTTCACTTTATTTTTTTTGCTTTACATCATCACTTGGTTGAGTTCTGCATCTCATTTTTCTCTTTTGATATCATTTTCATTTATTTTTCTTGAGTTCATGCCCTCTTCTTCCAACTTCTCTCACTATTAGCGGTGATGATATATTTACCCTGCGACTGGACTTGATGTCCAGATTCAATGCCAGAAGCTGAATTCAGCAAAATCATCAAGTTATTACAGAGCAATATGCCTTGTACAATGCAGACTCTCAAGTATTCTCTTTAAGACAAAATGAAATTCATAGGTGTTTGGGGACATGAACTCTCTGTTGTTTGTTTTATTTTTCTATAGCCATTCTCAGAATGTTTATAGCTTATATTCATTTCTCCTGTAAATGTGCTAAATTATTTTAGAATAATTTATCAGGACCACCTATGGTACTTTGAAATGCATGTATAGTTAGGCCCTTCCATTATGTTTATTCCAAAGCTCATTTCTATCAGACACATACCAAAATGACTTATCCTTTAATGATGCTTAAGATAAGTTTTGGGAGTTTTTTTGTATCAACTTTATCCTAGAGCTGAACATAATGGCAAATAATGTAGCACATTCTCAATCTAAATTGCTGCTGAAAATTGGATCAAATGACTGCCACAGCAAATTAGGAGAGAATTGTTAGCTTCAGATATACCTCTTATCCTGCTGAATCCTGAATTAATTAAATACATTACAAAGAAATGCTAATATGTTATCTAAAATATTTATTTTTAAAAAATAAATAAAATAAAATATTTATTTATAAACACCCTACTACATGTTTAAAAGTGGTATATTTCATGATTTAAGTTTTTTTAAATTAATATTTTTCAGCTCTTATGAATTATGTAGGAAAGACACCATACAATCTGGGAAAGAGTAGACATTCAGTTGATGGTCGCGACCATTACCACTGCTATGAGAATCTTAATATATGTTATTCATCTTGGCTCTGTCACTTACCAGCTGTGTGACCCTGTGACTTGGGCAAGTGACTGCCTTCTCTGTGCCTGTTTATTTAACTATAAAATGGGAATGTAAAAAAAATAAAAATAAAAAAATAAAATAAAATGGGAATGTAGACAGCATCTACTTCATACAAGTGTCATGAGGATTCATCTGGTCAATTATTGTAAAGCTTACAGAATAATACATGATATACTGTAAGTGGTAGAATAAAGATTCAAACTCGGGTCTCTGACTCAAAAAGTCACATTCTCATACACTTTTTTTAAATGAAATTACTTATTACTTCTTTTTATAAGTCCACTGCCATCTCCCCATGTGAACTTGTGTCCCGTCTGCACGTAGAATTTCTATTAAAATAAGAATCACATGCACGGGGAAAAAAGCCACAGGGCCAAATACTCCCTTCTTACCCTTTTTTTAAAATATTCTTAACTTTCTTTGTAATCATATCTCTTTTATCCCAGAAGCTCAAAGTGCTATATAAACTTTATGTCAATAGCAGATACTCAACTCCCCATGGCAAGTGGAAATAAAATTTATAAAGATATATATCCCACAGATTCCCAAAAACGAAGTCATTTTTCAAACTACTGCTTTAGAATTTGATAATCACAGCTTCTGTGAGCACAGAAAGAGGAAGTGGCTAAGTGCATTGCATTGTAGGGAAGCTATCCATGGCTCATTAATAGCATTCTGTGCTTACTAGAAGAAGAAAAGATTTCCCTTTGGTCTCCCACATATTTGAAAATCACTTCAGTTTACTGTTTTATGTGAAAGAGTGGTAGCAAAACTAAGTACAAAATTACAGTCTAGTGCTAGTGGTGGCTGTGATATTGCACTGGATTAATAAATCTTACACTGTTCAGGATCTTTATGGACATTCCTCCAGATATATATTAGTAAGAGGAGGTGTGGTTAAGTACTTGTGTTTGTTTGTGTGTATATGTGCGTGTGTGAGCACATGCAGAAGGGGTGTAGGTAGGTATGTAACTATATGTGTGTTTTTATTTTTTTAAGATTTTATTTATTTATTCATGAGAGAGACAGGCAGAGGAAGAAGCAGGCTCCATGCAGAGAGCCCAATGTGGTACTCAATCCCAGGACCCCAAAGGCTCAACCACTGAGCCACCAAGGTGCCCTATGTGTGTTTTTAATTTTAAAATTAAATGCAGTCTGGGCAGCCCTGATGGCTCAGCAGTTTGGCGCCACCTTTGACCCGGGGTATGATCCTGGAGACCCAGCATCGAGTCCCACGCATGTCGGGTTCCCTGCATGGAGCCTGCTTCTCCCTCTGCCTGCGTCTCTGCCTCTCTCTCTCTCTCTCTCTCTCTCTCTCTCTCTCTCTCTCTCATTGTGTGTGTGTGTCTGTCATGAATAAATAAATAAAATCTCAAAAAAAATTAAATGCAACCTTACTTAGCAAGCAGACCATCAGCCCTGCTGCCAGAATGTATGACCTCACTGATGTGCAAATATTCCTAACTTTTCCAAAAAATACACTAGTGCAAATTATATAATCTTGACCATCATCCCTGCATGGTCTCTCTCAAACTATGCATATGGATTTCATAGTTTTTGTGACACATACTTACCTAACAACTGCTTGCCCCTAAATCTTTGGTCTTCCATTTTTATAACATTAAGTAACAATTCAAATAAAAATGGTTATAAAATACTTAAAAGCTTTGAGATACCATATTCCAACCACAAAAACTCATCCCTAGGCAGCCTGGGTGGCTCAGTGGTTTAGCGCTGCCTTCATCCCAGGACTTCAGGATCACCTGAGACCTGGAATCAAGTCCCATGTCGGGCTCCCTGCATGGAGCCTGCTTCTCCCTCTGCCTGTGTCTCTGCCTCTGTGTGTGTGTCTCTCTCTAATGAATAAATAAATAAAATCTTTAAAAAAAATCATTCCTATTTTATGACATTTGTTGAATGTAGATTTGTTTATCAAATCACACAATTCAGTTATACAAAAATATAATACCACTGGTTTCAGTAAGGTGTTATATTGTGTGTTCATGTGACAGCCTCTTGCAGCCACCTCACACCCTTTGATATGAGAGAAAAGATACAGATATACTATTTGCAAAACACAGTCACATTAGCAAGCAAGGAGTGTCATCTATATACAACAAAATAGATGGGGCAGGGGAATTAATAAAAACAAAAGCAAATAAGATCAGATTAAGTCAGGAAATTATAATTCAAAATATAATCTGGAAAAGATGCTTAGTAGTAAGAAGAATGTGTGGAAGGTGGTGCTACCAACTGATCTAAAGATACAGAGTAGAAATAAAATGGGCTGGTCACTGGCAGATGATGAGTTTCATTTGGGTTGTATTCCATTTGAGATGTCTATGGAACATGCAGTGAAAATGTCCAGACAGCAATTAGAAATACAAATCTGAAGATTGGGAGAAAAATATTGACTAAAGTTAAGATCTTATAGTCGGTAGCATAAAAAGTGGTTATGAAACCCAAACCATGATATTTTTTTCTAGGAAGAACTTTTAGAGAAAAGCAAGGAGTTGAACAAGGTTGCAACTCTATGGTATGCCAACTAAGGAAGCAGCAGGGTGGAGTCTCCAAAGGTAACTAAGAATAAGTGGTCAAAGAGCAACAAGAAGGGAGATAAGAATCCTGCATGCCAGCCAGGAGCAAATAGGCAACTATATCAAAAATAGAGAAGTTTGAGAAAACAAAGACTGAAATGCATCTGTGGGACTTACTACTTATGAGGTCCTCAGTGACTCAACAAGAGCATATTTAATGGGTTGGTCTCCAGCAGAAGTCAGAATGCACAGGCCCAAATGAGAATGAAAAATAAGTAGGAATTGGTAATGGAGATGGAGACCTTTTTTAAAAAAATATTTATTTATTTAGTAAAAATTAGGGGAGATAGCAAGGCAAGAGAAAAATCAGAGCAAGTAGACAAAAAGAAAAATGAAGGATATTTTTTCATAGAAAGGAATATAGACAATTTATACACTGGGGGAGAGGAAATTGAAGAGAGTACATTGGTAAGACAAACTGTCTCAGGAGATGGGAAGGTTCAAAATCAAGGACCCAGGTGGAGGGTTGACTGTGTATAGTCGATAGCAGCCTCCACACCGTCCTTGTTTCATGGGAGGACTGTTTCATCCCAGGACTGTGTGTTGTGTATCTAGAGAGACCGACGGGAGGCACTGGATTGAAGGAAGTGATACCTGATGTTGTTGCCTTTCTGTGTGAAGTAGGAGGAGAGTTTATTTGGAAGTTTGAGAACAAACCTTCATTAAAGGTGAATGTTTAGAATAACTGCTGAAGTTAAAAAAAAATATGTAGCCAATCACTGATCAGACCAAAGAAGGAAGGGGAAGGGAGGACCATCAAGAGCAGGTTCTGCACCAGGAACAGTTTTTCTCTGGGTCCCAGCAAGGGCAACCAGTTAAAAATTGTTTACCAAGGTGTCTCATGATAATGCGACCCGCATGGCCGGAAGTGGGTCTTGAGCACTACTGGCCCAGTATTTGACATTGGATACATGTATCTTCCTCTTCTCCTGCCAGACCATACCTTTTGTGTTGGAGAAGGTAGCATAGTTTACTGATGCTGACATCCGGCTGATTCTGGAGGGGATGGATGTGTTTAGGCAATGGCATGCATGTTTCCATGACTTTCTGCAAGGATGCTCGACAGTGCATCCCCCAGTGCAATACTGGAGATAATAGAGGCTAGCGTGTGTGTAGAACAGGTGCAACAGAAACACACTGGTATTAAAAGGAAATCGGGATAGTGGAAAAAGATCTTTTGGCTAAGCAGCTGGTGAATCCAGGCTAGATAAAGTAGGAAATAAAAAGGCTGAAAGACTAGAGGTAAATAGAGATATCTCTGGGAGCTGTTACGGTGTAGAGGAGGAAGTAGGAGGTATAGCTGTACGATGAGGGTGAGAGAGCTGAAGGAGGAGAGTGCCCGAAGTAGGATATTGGCAGTGGCTTATTAGAGCCAGATCATACCAGCATGTGAGAGATGATTATTAAATGGTCAGGAATTGAGGGAGCTGGTTGTTAAACTGTTAGTAACTTGAAGTTGGCCATGATGGAAATATTTACACCACAGACATGGGCAAACAGCACAGCTCAGGGCTTGCTTGTTTTTTCTCCACAGGGCCAGTTTACCAACACAGTGGTAAACTGAAGTGAGGCAGGCTTAGGGGTGATGGTTTCCAGGTGTGGACCTATAAGCCAGTGGCTAAAGCAAAAAATGAGGATGAATGTGTTTAATTAACTACTGTAGATGGCATTTACACATGTGTTCTCTGAGTCAGGCATTATCCCAATCCCATGCACCCGGTGCTTACACCAACATTATGAGGTAGGTGTTAATATTGTCCCCATTTTATCAATGAGGAAAATGAGGCAAAGCATAATAGGTAACTTGCCCAATGTGAAACAGCTGAAAAATCATTCACTTTTTTTTTTTTGCACAAATATGTATTCACTGACTATAGTGGCCCAGGTACTGTTCTGGAACCTAGAATACAGAAGTGAACAAAACAGAAATAAAAAAAATCTAGTGGCAAGAGAAATAAAGATTTAAGCAAAATATATAGTACATCAGACAGGGAGAAAAAATAAGAGAGTGGAAGTGAGATTAGGTTTCAGTATTAAATTGAATGAACAGGTGAGCTCTTACTGGAAAGTGACATATGAGTAAAGATGGAAGAAGGTGAGGGAGCAAGCCAGGTGGCAGTCTGGAGGGAAATAGTCCGGAGTAAGAACAGCAGGGGCCAAAGGCCTGAGGTCAGAACATTTTATACCCAAAGAACTACAAATTAGATCTTTATTTTTATGACCAAATGCCTGTTTTGCCTAGGACAGTGCTAATCCATGCCTAGTACCTCTTCATAATTGTTAATATTGACCCTTTTACCCTGCAGTTGGGTTAATAAAATAGATGGTCACCCTATGGTTATGGCTGACATAGCGTATGTCAGGGGAAAGGTGGTAGAAGATGAAGTTAGAGGTGATGGAGGCAGAAAGGGACTCAAAGGTTGAAGAGAAATGATTCTCAACCTTGGTTACACATTAACATGATTTAATTTAGAGAGCTCTTAACAATCCCAAATTCCAGCCTGCATCCCAGGTGAATTAACTCACAATCTCTTGGTGAGAGAGCTGCATTAATATTTGTTCAAAGTTCCCCCATGAGTGTAATATGCAACCAAGTTGTAAAAACAGTGAGTTGGGGCATTGTAGGACGCTGTAATGTGTCTGCATTTTCTCTGGATAAGACATGAAGCTATTGTAGGGTTTGGAGTAGAGAGAACTAATCTGACTGTGTTTTTACAACATCACTCCGGTTGCTAGATTCAGAGACTATAGTGAAGTATAGATAGACGGAGAGAAATTTGGAAGCTTTTGCAATAAAAATCCAGGTAAGGAGATGACAGTGGCTTGGATGAGGATTGTTGTAGTTGAGTTGATGGAAAATACTAGAGTCTATGGTGTATTCTGAACACAGAGCTGATGGAATTTGTTGTTAGATTGGATAAAGTGTACGGGCAAAAGGAAAGATTCAAGGATATCTCTCTCTTATCCATAAAATAAGGTCAATAATAGGCAATAACTACTTCCTACAGTTATTGTGATTTTTTTTTATGGTGTTAAATGGCTAATAGACCTACACTCCTAGAACATGTGTCTGGGCACTTACTAAGGTCTCCATAATGTTATCTGTTATTATAATGTATTTCAGAAGATGTCACTAAGAGTTTTAAAGTTGTTTTTCTGTTACTTCCCAGTCTGTTTTTCTCTAAAGGCTAAAAATAGTTTTAATTTTCACCATTTAAAAAAAATCTAGATATATGTCAAGAATATGAGTATTTAAATAATACATATCAGTGCATATCAGCATTCCAAAAGCAATGTGAGTCATTTGAAGACTTTCCTTGAACAAATGCAAAGCAAATATTAATTTAAAAAATTAAAGGGATCTTTTAAATATTTATGTAGTCAAATTATAAATCTACTAAAGATGGCATTTTACCTTATGCTTTTTATATATTAATAATGAGAGCTGTATTTTATTAGCACACTTTTCTTGTAAATTGTGTTGTGTGGAATTATATTTGTGCTGGGGTATGAGAGCAAAATTAATCTACATTGCATTCATTTGATATTCAACAGTGAAAAAAATGAAGTCACATTTACCTACCAATACCCTTTTTTTTAAAACCGTAAAAGTTATAGCTGGATTAATCCCCTTAGTTGCTTTTTTCAGAAAAAAAATATAAAACTTCATGTAGACGAATGTTATTATTTATCCTGCATGTGCCAGCTTAATGCCAATACCATTCTAAAAATAATGTGACAGTAAGCATCAAAATATATGAAAGCAGGGTGTACTTGGAACCAAGCATATGGCTGGCTGAACTTCTTATTTTTAAATTAGAAGTTAGAGCATCAACTTCCAAAAGCCTGAATTTGTCTCTTTAAACATCATAGTACTGTAAATGTGTTGTGTCATTTGTAGTACCTGGTACCATGAAATTGTACTATAATTTTCCTTACTAATTCTTCTTTTGCCTACAAGTGTTTATGCTGATTGTTTAAATTGATGTGTAATTCATAATTACAGTGATGTATAGAGATGTTCCATGCACTTTCCTGAATTCCTCTGTGGTCAACCTCACATCCCCATTTGGACCATATAAAAAATTTTAGAGAACTTAAATATTAGACTCAAAATCTTGTAGTTCCCAACCATGCCTGCAAATCAGAATTGCCCTTCTACATTTTATAAAGTGTATTTGCAGACTCAGCAGATATATTTTTCAAAAACTTCCTTGAGTAGTTTTAATGCTCATTATTACTTTTGAGTAATAACAATGCTTCATCAAGATTTTGGCATTCTGTGACACCCTTCCCCAGATGTCAAACAAACAAACAAAAAGTTTAAAGTTTCTTGGTTTTACTTAAATGATGCACACAGTGGCTAGTATAGATTGCATTCACATAAACCTAGCAGAAAGAAAGGAAAGAAGAAAGAAAAAGAAAGAAAGAAAGAAAGAAACAAGAAAGAAACAAGAAAGAAAGAAAGAAAGAAAGAAAGAAATCAAATTCAGTTGTAAGCTTTGTAAACTAAAGCTATATTATATTCACATTAACTTTAAGTTCTTAAAATGTAATTCCAAAATCCAACTACCATGTTTCACAAATCTATATCTACTTTTCTTCCTAGATTTTTTAGGCATGTTAGAAATGACATTTTTAGTTTCCTTATGATTGAAATTTCTGTTATTGGTGGCCTCTCCCTTCTATAAATAAAAATACAACTCTGCCTAATTTAAGTGCAAATCCACAATAACTACAAAAAAAAAGCCTCTAAGGATTTAGTAAATATTCAACAGGAAATTACAATGAGATTTTCAATGGGGAAGGCCACAAGAGCCAAGACTTTGGTAAAAATGAGATACTGACTCTTCTTTGTTTGGTGGTTATTTTAAAACAAAAATGACTTTTCAAATCTATAAATAACCGTAGCCACTTTTTTTTTTCAAATTCAGGAGCATTTTTCAAAGTCACAGCATGGTCATCTTTCTGATTTTGAAACATAAAAACTGAATGTTAACTTTAAACTTAAGTTATAGAAGTAAACCTCCAAGGTCTGTTTTCTGCAAAGTCACTTATAAATCGATTGTTGAAAACTCAAATGCATTTTCCCATAAATATTTCTTTTAAAGATAGTGCCTAAGTCCTAGGCAGATCCATAAAGCCTCTTTAACTCAGACCACAGCTAAAGGTTGTAACTTCCAATAAGGAAGAGGGTCAGGAGTTTCTTTCAAAAACCAAAAAAGAGAGTTTTCCTCCCTTCTACAAGACTTGCCTTGGGCAACATTTTTTTAAAGACCATTCTTGTGTGGCATCTGTCTCTTTCTTCATGTCCTCTTCCTAGGTCCTCAGATATTCAACTTTAATGGTTTTAAATCCCTTGTGGTGGCACATACTCCCCATCTCCTCTTATCCATGGGCTAGGTCTCTTCTACATCACAGAATCACCCATAACGGTCCCTACCTCCCTCCCAACACTGTCTCCTAATCTAAGTTCTCATTCTCTTATCACCACAGGCCTTGGCTGGATATAAGATGAAACTAACTCATTCTATCATCTGTGATTCACAAATACTATTTTAATTCCTCCAGGGGACTCTGCATCTTTTACATGGACTTATAAACCCAAATAGATTTTTTTATTTTATTCTGGAAATAACACAAAATAAGATTGACTCTCTTAGCAAAATTTTAAGTGTACAAAATAGTATTATTGACTGTACAGTGTTGTACAGCAGATCCACAGAGTGTATTCATCTTGCTTAAATGAAACTTTATGCTTGTTGATTAGTAGCTCTCTACATCCCCCTGCTCCAGCCCCTGGCAACGCTGAAGTTGGATGACTAGAGGCTTAACAAAGTCCATTGTTTACATACCTCAGTCTTTTGTAAACCACTTTGTGGGGTACATTTTTTGCATTGCCATTTGACAGCTCAAGTCAGCATTTTAGAAGTAATCATTTTACAAGGCCTTGGCTAACCCTTCTCTTTGTGTCATTCTGTTCTGAAAGGCTGGTGCCATCCCTTATAACTTGTGGTTAGTGAACCAAAACTGTCTTTTGACATTCATATGAATCAAACTTTCATTACCTCATTTTAGGGCATAAATTGTCATTATCCAATAGTGTTTATTATACCAGATTTGTGAGGAATCTTTGAAGTTGATTTATTTACTGAAGGTAGCCGAGACACTGCATAGTGAATTGGATTCTCTGTAAATGTTTGCTAAATGATGACATGCAATTTTTATTAATTCTGCTCTATAATAGCCTATCATCTACCAGCTATAATACTGTTTATCACTCATACTTATTTCAGAAAACTGAATCACTATAATTATTTGCTGTATGCAAAGGACTGTAATGCACTTTCAACAACAGAATTTTAGGACAATGATTTATATTGTGTCCACAGACCTTTGATAGTTTATAAGGCTATTCTGTTGATGGGCTCAACATCACTATTCTTCAGTGAATACCTACAAAGAAATAAAGTAGGAATCTGTATAACACATTTAGCCCCCTTTTCCTCATTCTTTAGTGAAATGTAAGAGTCTGATGGTCATAATCCGTCAAACCAGAGTCTTATCCTCAGAAGTAAAGATGGTTTGCAAGTGTTGCTAATACTTCTATTTACACATGATTTTCTCAGAGAATCTCTTATAGTAATTCTAACTTTCCATGAAAAATACTTTAAGAAAATATCCTACTACTGACTAGAAGCCTCTTCATTCCATTAAGAGAAGAATAAATAAATGTAGTTCAGTTCAATCCAGTGAATATCTATGGACTATCTATGCCAGGCATGGTGCCAGGCCCTGAAATTTCAAAGATGACCAAGACAGTTGCCCTAGATGAAAATATGTTCAAGCCAGTGGGAGAGAAAGACATATACACATATGGTTTTAGCCAGTGTTGGTGTAGACAGGATGCTTTGAGGGCGGTAAAGAAAAGGAACTTGGTCCAACTTTATTCCTCCACTCTCCTACCAGTCCCAACCTCCTTCCAACCTGTGGTAGGTACTGCGAGCTAGGCCTTGAAAACAGATCTCCAGTGTGATTCAAGCCACCAGTTTCTTTTTCCTGTGTTATTCTAATAGCTTCCAAATTAATCTGTCTGCTGAATCTTCCTATGCAAGTCAGAGTATATTAGCCCTCAATTAAAATGCTCCTCTAACTTGTCATTACTTTTAGAATAGATTTCGGACTATTTGCGTACCTGATTCAGCCTATGCCTACCTCTCCAGTATCCCTCTTACTCAACAAGTTCCAGCCTCACTGGCTTTTAGTCATTAAGCATGCCAAACTCATTCTTGACTTAAGACATTTGTACCTGCTGGGAACTATTCACAGCCTCTATCATATCCCCTTTTTTTTTCATATTACTCCAGTTTATTTATTTTCTAGTTCTTTATTACTGAAAAGTATCTCATTTATTTCTTAACCTA